GCATATGTCAGGGCCATGGTGCATGCCAGGCCAACACTGGCAAGGTACGAAGGAGCCATCACGAAATGGGGCCGACCGGATTACCGGACGAAGTTTTAGCAAACGATCACCTAACTGGGCAGGAGACGGCTTCTTCGCGCGAAGAGCAAAGAGGGTTTGAAACTTCAACTTGCTTGCTGGCACTTGGCGTGCAGCAGGAGCATTGCATGAGCTGCGAAACGCAGGCTCCCCTACCCCTGTTTTCACTACCAGGCTCGCACCTGGCACTTCGTGAGCCTCTCGGGCGCATCGAAGAGGCAAACGCCGCCTCAGGATTTGCAGAGCACCGGAAAGGATCGGGCAAGGCGACTCGCTCAGCAAAGCCCCGCACTCTGCTGGAAGCGTTCGGCAGCCTCGCAGAGGTGACCGTAGAACTGCACCTGCTACCACAGGTGCCACAGGACAAAGGGAAAGGGTTTCCCTGCAGCAGGAGAAAGCTCTGGCATCCTGCATGAGCCTGCGCCTCTTCAGTTTGCTCCCACACTTTGGAAAACTATTCAAACAAATAAAGCACCTCATCGGCCCAAATGCATTGCATCCGTTCGCTACATGGCTCAATGCAAGTGGGAGTCACCGCGCTGCAATCGCTGCCGCGGAGGACGAGTGCCACAGTGTTGGCTGTCTCCGGCACCTTTTTGCATCGCAGGGCGGTACGCAGCGCAATCGAGCAGTTGATGTGCCGGCCTCAAGAGCCAAAGCTGGAACGGCCTGCAAGGGAACCCCGGCCCGGAAGTCCAAAACTTCTCTCGTGGCGCGGCGGCGTGCCTTGCTGCCCTGAAGTCGCTTCTGAAAGCCGTGGAGCATCTCCTACACAGCTTTTTGGCTCGGGAGAGTGTAAGCTTGAAGCTGTTCATCCTCGGTGGGGAATCCAGGCGGCACGTTGGCCTCGGTCGATCATAGCTTCACAGCACAAGGGGCAAAGCTTCCTCGCCCCTCTTTCCCTGTCTATCCTCAGTTTCCTCTTTGCGAGTCCTTCCCCTGGGTCCCCTGTTGTCAAGCGGCCGCGACCACGGCTCGTTCTTTGAGAAGCACGGGCAGGGCTTCTGCAAGCGGCCCAGCCTTGCCAGGAACCCCAAGCCCGGAGCTACGATGTGCTACGTACCTGGTCTTCTCATCCCTCGATCCTCGTCCCACAAAGGTCGTGGGACCCGGTTGAGAGCATCGTAGGCATCAATGATGACCTCGAGGCAGCCCAGGGCTTCCACAAACGACTACAACCGAAGCCAAAGCCAGTAGCAGCTGGCTGGTACTGGTTAGTACCTACACTCACCTAGACCATTCTGTGCCAGTCTGCAGCATCGTAGCGGGGACCGTGAGGATCAGCTGCCCACTCTGCAGCCAGGGCGGCACCTGCGATGCCAAGGTCACTGTGTGCCGCAGCTCAGTCTGTTGGCAGTTCTTCTAAGCCGCATGAGTCAGTGCGCGACTGCTTCCACATGTCGTTCGACGACGCCACCAAACTCGACACACAAAATACAAGTCTATATGAGTGCGCCTCACCCTTGATCTTCATCTCATCGTTTCGCATAGAATTCAGGCTGTCCGCAGCAACCCATCACCATCAAATACCAACCCTGTCCCTCCCTGCCGTCGCCGCAGATCGCTTGCAGGCGACCTCTCAATGCTCGGCGCAGCGGGGAAGAGCCCGTGCCTTTCCGCAGGTCGAGGGAAATTGTGCCGTCTCAGTCCAACATGAGAATCGACCTGTGGTGACATGCACTTGCATAGACTTAGAACAACGACTGCAGAGGTATGCAAGACTCCAAGGTTTGCACCAAGCTCAGTCGTTGAATCGCAATGCTTAGCTGGATCCCTTCTTGCACAAACGGCGTGATCAACTTAGCCATCATGTGTCGAGAGACCTGGCTCATGAATTTTCTGACTGTCGACGTGTGGAGACGCTGCAAGATGTTGCGAGAAAACTGCCTTGCCAAGATGGTGCGACAAATACCATGTGGTTGCGGCAGGGCTTGCCACTTATGAAGTGGCAGTGGCACTGGCCTTTGCAAGACTAATTGGTTGATCAACCATGGACACATAAAGCCGGGTTTGACGCCTCCACTGGCCGCTATCGGGAAACCCAGGGCTTCGCCGGCAGCACGGATCACTGCCTCCTCCGCCCAAGCATGGTTTGAGAAGAGGACTTCACCAAGAACTAGTGAATAGAGTTATCTTCGACTCACGCCCTCCTGAAGTTTTTCAGACACGGCAAGGCTCGGCGACAAGACGCCTCGTTTCATGTGACACCACAACACCCGACAGGCTCAACTTTTATAGTCCTGTGATCATCCTGTGGTGTCTTCGGCAGTTGTAGAACTAGAGCGGAGTCCGTGCACAGCCCGAGTCTCCTGCCTCCAACTCCACCACATCAACAGAGCTGTCTGGGACTGCGTTGGCCAGCCAGAGTGGCACAGAGCCTGAACCTAGGCGGTCCAAGCTCTGCCTAGGACTTGCTGCGAGGACTTCTGCAGCAGCAGCTTGCTCCGTCCCCTCCCTCACTCTGCGCCCGTCACAAACTGGGGGCTTGACTCGCAGCCATGTTTGAGTCAATGATTGGTCATGGCGAGATTGTACTATGGGGTTCACATGCTGCTTAGAAGTTAAAGTTTTTACGACGAAAGCATAATCTAGCTAACTTGCCGACTCGCATATTAGCCATGTTGTCCTCACTGTTCATTTGTCTAGCCCTTGCGACATCTTTGGCAAGGATGCCACAATCTTGCAGGGAGGTTCCAACAGTGACAATGGCCTGCGACTGTCAAGCTTGCAAGAATCCTTCCATGCACACGTTTGCGACTGTACACTCAAGGCTTCCAGTCCATCGTTGCAGCTGCCTTCGAGATGGCCGTCATCTAAATACTTGGTACATTCCTGCTGGGTGAATCAGATCCAGGAGTCGTGCTGCCTGCTCTGCAGTAAACATAGTGCGCGGCTATGTCCTTCGTCCCATTAGATCAAATGCCGAGTGGCCAAGGCCAATCACCAAGATGCGAGGCGTCCGGGCGTCCATCAACACCAGGCTTGCAGCAACCGAGGCTGCAAGGGTCTTGGGATAGTTCAAGGCCAGAACCTGATGGACTGCTCGACTTGTCTTTCGACTCATAGCCTACAAATGATTCCGCTACCAGAAGCAGGCAGTCTGCGACGGGCCCCTGCCTGAGGATCAGCTTCTGGGAGCCAGCGGCCGTCAGCTGTGCACGTCACTTTCCTTTCCAAACGTCTGTGCAAGACTGTGCCGGCTCTGTGCATCTTACATCATAATGCGCCATGCAACATGCGACATGTGCAGTTGTTCACGTCCACTTCCAATCACAAGCTTAGCAGACCTAACATCGTTGCTAGTGTCAGAACTGCTCAAGAGGGCTTAGCTTGCACGGCCTTACGGCATGTTTCCACATGCATCCCAGCTGCGACACAGATTGGATAAAAGGCGGGCCCCGCTCCTCTCGCGAAAAATTGCTCTGATTGGTTCGCTCCTTAAACGAAATCAACACTGCGAGCCGTGTTCGGCGCACGGACGAACCTAGTGGTCTTCGTGCCGTGTCGTCTCGGTTGTACTGTTCCAGGACATTGCACTCCTTGGCAGTTTCTGGTGCCGATTCGAAGATCAAGCTCCTCCCAGAGGTGTCAAATCGCAGGCTTCCAGTGCCACGCACTGGAACCGGCCTCCACTCCTGAAAACTCCCAGTAGGCCATCCCGGTGGCACCTGCATGCAAAGCCGAAGCAGACTTGGTTTGCGGTCTTGCAAAACCTGCTTGAAACAGCATAAGTTTGATTCCTTGTCTGATGAAGATCTGCTTGCACCTGCTGCTCTGACGCCCTGTATCCTTGCACGAAAAGCCGTCCACCGCAACTGAGAGGAAGCGATAACCTGAATTTGTTTGTAGTACTTATTATGTGAATCGGTGGGATGGTTTTGGAAGCTCGCCATGTCAGCTTGAGAGGCTTCCTCAAGCTAACCCAACATTGAGCATGAACGAACAGGTCTTAGGGTAACGGGACAGCTCAAACAGCCTCAGGTTCGAAATTGCAAACAGTACCTGCAAGGCATCCGGGTGGGACAAGACTGATCGAACTTCTATAGGAATTTCGTGGATTTGACTGTCCTGTGTCCAGTGGCCGTTCCTCTCCGGGGCCGGAATACTCGCAGCGGAGCTCCCTCCTGAAAGCAAGCAACGTCTGGCTCCCTCTCGTTCTGTTTCTCTCTCTTCCTGCGGGCTGCTCCGTAGAACTTCATGGCAGTTGTGTCTGGTTCATTGCTGTACTCTCGCACCATTACCGGTTGCGACTCAATATCAACTGCCTTCAACACAACACCGCATCCTTCCCGGATCTTGCCGAGAAATCTCTGCGAAGAATGCCGCATGTAGAGTATGCCAACCTCGGCCACAAGCAGACGTGAGAACACACCGTTGCGGAAACGCACCCGCAACAAGGCATTACGTCTTGTCCACGAATCTCCACCCCAGCATGCCATGCAGCTTTGCTGCCAAGCCTCTTGTGATTGCAAGAACAAGGATGAAACCTGTCAGCCGTCTCCATGCCTTCCGAAACAACATCGGTAGACCAACACACAAGCAAAATTGGAAGGCCATTTGGAAAGACACAAGCAAAGCAGGCAACGTGCGGACACAAAAGACTGCGCATCTTCCATCTGCGATGCTGTCTTATACATCGATCAGTTGTGCCTGTCGTTTTGCCGTGCCGATGCAGGCCGCCATGTTTCACACACTTTGCATATGGACATCCTCCAAATGTACTGTACTAACACTGACAACAAGCTTACGATGAATTTCTATGATGCAGACAACCGACGTGTTGCGATGATTCCGAACAAGCGCAAGTGGCTTTATTTGTCTGGCAGAATTCTAGGCCCAGCGAAGCGGCAACAAACGGCAAGTGTGGCAGGCAGCGCCGCAACAGCAACCACCCAATACTTTTCCGGCTCAACAAAGATTCAAACAATCATCTTCCATCATCAAAAGAACTTATGGACAATTGTCACAGTCGGTGACTCGTATGACAAACCGGTTACGGCTACAACAGACAGATCAAAACATACTAAACAACACGGGATTTCCCGCCAACGCTGAACGGATTGCCAAAACTCTTGCGACTCTGTGGTCTCAGAACCCGCAAAAATCGGTCGGGGGCGCTTCTGCAACCGTTCAAAACCTGGAAAAAGCATTGTCTGGGCCGCTGGCTGGCACGTGCGCAAGGCCAAGTGCCAAGTCTGTCATCACCAGAACCAGACCCCGTCACGCAGACGCACCGGTTGCTGAGCATTCCGTTTAGTAGCATACGGCAATCTCAACCAACCTACCTGTGCCAATAACTTTCCTTTCAAACGGTTAGATTCTTGTTTTCAAGCTCTCGGGTCTCTTTCGAAGTTATCTAACCCCTCTACAGCGGTTTGCTCCTTTTTCTGAAATTCGCTAGTTCCTTTCGAACGACTTAATCCTTGTCCCCAATTTCCCTAGCCTTTTTGGAAATGCGTCAAGTCTCTTTCTAGTGGTTGTGCTCCTTCTTCTGAAATTCTCTAATTCCTTTCGATCGAGCGGTTCGCTAATTCTTCTGACATTCTTTAGTTCCTCTTGAGCGGTTTGCGGTCTCTGTCCGAATTCTCTGGTCTCTTTCGAAGAGTTTGCTTCTACTTCTGAAGTTCTCAAGTTTCTTTCGAGCGACTTGCTCCTTGTTCTCTAGTCACTCTATTCCCTTTCGAAAATTCTCTAGTCTCTTTCGAGCGGTTTGCTACTTCTTCTGAAATTCTCTACTGTAGTTCCTTTGTAGTGGTTTGCTTCTGCTCTCAAATTCTCTAGTCTTTCGAGCGGCGTGCTCCTTCTTCTGGAATTCTCTAGTTCCTTTCGAGCGAGCCGCTTGCTCCTTGTTTCACATTCTCTGCTCTCTTTCGAAAGTCTCTTCTCTCTTTCGAGCGGTTTGCTCCTTCCGACGATTCGAGCGGCTTGCTCCTTGTTTTCAACTTCTCAAGTCACTGTTGAAATTCTCTAGTCTCTCTCAAGCGGTTTGCTCCTTCTCTTACTCCTGGCTTTCAACTTTTGTACTTTCTTTCGAGCTTGTTTTGTTTTTGCTGGTGCGGGCCTCACTAAGAGCGTCAGCGAGTTTAGGGTTTTCAAGGTAACCAGAGGCTTGAGGGTTTAGATGGTGTTGTCAGGGCAGGGCTGAGCCCGAAACCCACACAGACCTATGTAGGGACCTTGGGAGGTTGCCCCCTGAAGGGCTGCAAACCCATTCCCTACGAAAGCCAAAAACTTCAACGAACTCGAGCGAGTGCTCATCTCAATCTATGCTGCAAGGTTTGGGGCTTCGGGCTTCTTACCAGACTGAGGGTCTAGCCAGTTGATACCCTCATGTGCCCGACAGGCTTAGGAGGAAAGGTTTTCACCTTTGGGACTTCGGGTTTAGGTTCTGCTGGACTTTCCCACTAAGCGTACAAGGTTTCGTGAGCAAGGTCCGGGGGGGAGGGGGGCTCGACCCAGGTTCAACCCAGGTTGGAACTCTCCGGGGCTCGGGAGGTGGGGGGAGGGAGAACAACAACATTGAGTACCTGGGTGCAACCCGGGTTCAATTTTTTTTTCCGCGGACTTTTCCCACAGGGCGAATCCTCGCAAGCTGCTCTTCAGCACTCCAGAGAAGCGCGCTGCTTCAACTACTGGGTTGCCTACTTGACCTGGCTCCGCTTGTCTTTCCTCTTAGCACACTTCTGCC